CTTGGGGTACTTTTGATATTGTGAGACAAGGAAGAGACAGATAAATGGAAAGAATGAGTCAACCATGTGAGTTTGCCCATATGATCAGGACCCTGTGCCAAGAATGCTGTCTTGACTCCAGTCCCCTGCTGTTCGCTCCACTGGGGCCCTTAACTTCTATCTTGGCCTATGCCCTTTCCCTAGGGCTGCCAGGCATTGGACTGCCAGCCTCTTCGTGGAGCCTGGAGGGTGGGCTGGGGAGGAGGGTCTACTTAATAGTGGTGTGGTTCATTTGGGCCAGGAGTGTCTTTTCTTCCAGCCCCCGACTTTTATCTTCACGAGTAACAGTCCTGTTTCCCCCTCCCCCCCTAAAAATAAACAAAAAACAGTTCTCTAAGCTTTCTTCACTGTGGGCATAGAAACCATTTCTAGTGGAAAAGAGAGGGCACAAATCCAGTGGGTTTGTTTCCAACAGTTCCATTTTAAAATGGGTGGACACCATCCCTGCCCTTGCTCCTATGTCTTCCTCCCACCCCCTAAGCAATGTTGGTTCAACATATATTTGAATTTGTTGTCTTGGAAATCAGGGTTTATTCATCAAAAGTTTGTTTCAACAGACATTTGCAGCCCTGTATAGTGTGACATGTTAGACCAGAAGCCCTATTGAGCTCAAGTTAACCTTTTAGTTTCATGTCTTTGAGAAGAATTTTTATACCCTTAACCTATCTACCCCTAATTCCACAGAAGGGCATTTCCCAACATCTAGCTTGGCCTGTCCAGGGGTCCCCCACAGGGGAATTATCCCATCCCTTCTGTGCCTTAAAAGTTACATAAAGCTTTCTGAAAATCTGTACTTCTAAGGAGAGTTTCTTTCTCCCATAACTTGTCAAAAAGAAGTAGTCATCTTATATTCTGCCTTTCCTTTCTTTTTGCATTTTTCAGTCTTTCAGAAAAGCCATCCTGGTAGAACCCAGGGGTCTTAGTGTCAAATCCCAGAATTGGCCCAACCTCCAGAGGTTTTCTAATGCCACCTGCCACCCAGTGCAGGAATCCTCACAGTATCAGCCCTGAACAAGGAGAGGTCATCCAGCTTCAGCTTGAACACAGGCAGCTCATTCCTTTTATGAACAGCTCCAATGGTTAGAAAGTTCAACCTTGGTGTTAATCTCCCTGTAATTTCTACCCAGTGACCCTGGCTGGTTCTGCCCTCTGGAGCTGCACAGAACAGGCCTCCCCTCTTCCACATGCCGTGCCTTCTGATCATTTTGGACAGAGAAATGTTGTTCCTGGCAGTCTTCTCTCTTCTGTGTTTAATACTTCTAGGGCTTTCAGCCATTTGCCCTCCTAGCGTGTTTCCAGATCTTTTACCATTCTGGTTGTGTTCCAACTTGTCAATATCTTCTTAGCTGCCCCTCCGCCAGACCTGACCAGTACAGAGAACAGGGAGACAGACCATCGCCTTATTGATACTTAGGATAGTGGGACCTAAGCTTGCATCAGCTTTCTCAACAGCCACCTCTCACACTGTTTAATCAGATTCACAAAGCCAGTCAATATATTAAACACAGAATCTACCAGGCATGGGTCACACAGCTAGTTAGTGGCAAGGCTAGGACTAGGAAATAGCATTTGTAAGCCAGGCTAGCATACTTTTCACTCTGCCATCTTGTGTCTCTTACTTGTAAAATAATAATAGGAGGAGAAACAAGAGATCATCTGGTCAGAAAGCTATGAACCAAATGGTTTTTTTAGCTCACAGACCATACAACAGCAGCCATCCGGCTATATTTGGCCTTCTGGCCATGGAATGCAGCCCCTGAAGGCCAACCCTGTAAATCAGGCATCAGTCATCGATAGATAAAGAACTTGTGACAGGTTCTCTCCTTACTGGCAGGGTCACAACTCAGTCAGGTCGTCAGGCCTGATGTCTCCGTGCCAGTACTGACGAAGCTCTCTCTGTGTCCATTCAAGGAGGATTTGTTATAAAGTATCAATCTTAGACATGCCCTGCCATGATGCCTTTCTTAATCCATCCAGTGCCACCCATACAAATCCATACCTGGCCCACTCAAGTCTTGACTTCCATCAGGTTGACACAGGAAGTCCACCCAATTTGTTGGGGTTCTCCTGTGAGTTCTCTTCATGGATACTAGGGCTGTCTGCTGTTCACCCATATTCTTGCCTCATAGGATCATGAATTTGGAAACAGATGGAAGGAAACGAGCATTTATTAAGTACCTAATATGTGACAGGAGTTGTGGTGCTAAGCTCTTTACAAATATCTCATTCGATCTTCACAATGACCCTGGAGATAGCTAGTATTACTATCCCCATTTTAAAGTTGAGGAAACTGAGGCAGGCAGGTTAAGTGACTTGCCCAAGGTCACATATCTAGGAAGTATCTGAGACTGGATTTGACCTGAGGACTGCCTCACTCCAGGTCCAGAACTCTTATTTGTCACCCCCATCTTACACTTGAGCCAACTGATTTTTGAACCTAAATACAGAACTCGATGTCATCCTGTTGGTTGCAGCCTATTGTCTGTCCCTGCCAGGATCTTTTCTAGTCATGATTCTGTCAGCCAGTACATTAGCTCTCTTTCCCAACTTTGTATCATCTCTATACCAGGTTTGATAAGTCTCCTTTCCCTCTCCTCATCCCAGTTGTTGATAAGAATGTCCAACAGAACAGGACCAGGATTTGGCTGTATACCACAAGTGACCTCACTCCAGGGTGACATGAATCACTCGACACTCTTTGGCTGTGATTGTTAAGTAATTCATGCTAGAATTTTGCTGGGGACCCCTGTCATGCTTACTGGTATTAATTTTCCAGAATCTACCCTTTTTCCCCCCTTTTTGAAAAATCATAACCTTTACTTATTTCCATTCCTCCTCAGAGATTACAGCAGTGGCTCTGTGATCACATCTTCAGGCCTCTCTAGTACCTAGGAGGTGATTGGTCTGGGCCTGGAGACATAATTTCATTTATAATGGCTGAGTGTTCTCTTACATAGCTTAGATGTTCTTTTCCACTCATTGTTGCCAGGCAGAGGGAGCTGACTTGCATCCTTGGTGAGGAAATACAGTAGTCAGGGATAGATGGAAGTCTGAGGGGAAGCAGTGAGCAGATTGCAAGCTCAGTATGAGTCGATGTGATATGATAGGGTCCAGGTCTCAGATGGTGGTAGTCCTGCTGTCCTCTGACCTGCTTAGGACACATCAGAACATTGGCCCCTGTTATAGTTGCCACATTTTACTAAGGACGTGGATAAGCCAGATTGTATCCAGAAGGCAGCCAGGATGGCAAGAGAGCTGGAGGATGTGTCCTATAACAGTCAACTGAAGGCCCAAAAATATTTATAGCAGCATTTTTTGTAGTAGTTGTAGTAATAAAGCACTGGAAACAAAGTAAATTCCTGTCAGCTGGGGAATGATTAAACAAATTATGGTACCTGAATGTAATGAAATATTAGAGTGCTGTAAGAAATAGTCAAGATGATGAAAAGGACAACTCATGAGCTGATGCAAAATGGAGTCAGCAGAACCAGGAGAACAACATATACAAAGGACCACAAGAGCAGGAAGGAGTAGCTGCCACAGCAAAATAATTGAAATCAAGTGCTACAGAATTGGAATGACCAGTCGTGGCCATGAGGAAGCTGTGACTTGGGAAGAGAGGGCCTTCGTTAAGTGCTGACGGCGTGCTAAACATTGGTGACACAGAGATGGTAAACAAGACAGTGTGCTTTCTGGACAAGCATCTCAGAAGGGGAAGGGCCCTCAGAGGCCGGCTTATTTAATCTGTATCCCCACAGGAATTCTCACTTCACATGACAAGTGGTCACCTAGAAGGAAAGGCTTGAAGACCTCTAGTGAGAGGGATCCCTTTCCTGTGGCAGCTCTTCCATATGCGAGTCAGACTTTTTGTGATATGCCAACCCCAGATTGTCTTCCCACATGGACTCTTTCTTCTTCTCCAGCTTCCATGTTGGGCATTGTGAAGTTTTGGTTCCAGGGTTCTTGAGATCTAATTCAGCTGCTCCACTCATTCATTTTATGACCTTGGACCCGAGACTCTCTCTTTGTCTGTTTCCCCATCTGAGAGGCAACAGAATAAATTCCTCCTCTGTCCCTGCTGATGGCAGTGCCAACAGGGTGAAGGTGCACTGCCCATTGGCCTTGGAGGGTACAGTCCACTACCTGGCTTCCATTTGACCCTCTGTCTGATGTCCCTGAAATCCTGGAGGCCAGGAATCTGATGCCTCTTTACCCTGCTGAGTTACGGGATCACCCCTCTGGGTTACGTTAGCCTGCCCCCCAGAGGCTCACTGACAGTGAGGATCTCTTGAAGTCCCCTTCCACACCTGACTGGCTCACAGATCCAGAGACTCAACAAATGCCCTCAGCATCAAATCAGTCAGGCTTTGGGAGGTTGGGGCTCCCCTAGAGGCTGGGGATCCTTTTGAGGTAGTAATCTCCGAAAAATGGGCTTTCTTCCTTTCCTTCTTCCCTGTTCCACCAGTCTTCCTCTGTCTTCTTAGTGATATTGCAGAAGGTGGGGGGTGGGGGGGGGCCCTCTTCTACATAGAGGAGAAAACAAATTTTCAACTTCTCTGCCTCATCCCATCCCCAAACAAAACCCACTCCTGTGCTTTACCTCTCCTCTTATGCCCCACCCCAACTCCAACTCCTAAGGTTTCTTATTAACTAATGTTTGTAAGGTGTGTTTTGGGGAAGGGGGGAAGGTAGTAGATTTTAGTCAGAAGGGACTTTGAAGGGCATTGAGTCAAATCCCTCATTTTGCAGAGGAAACAAACAGATCCATAAAGTTTTAGTGACTTGCCCAAAGTCAACAAGTAACAAGTAGTAGACTGAGGTTTTGAGCCTGGGTCCTCTGACTCCAAAACTAGCTCTCTCTTCGTTTAACCCAGGATTTTGATCAACACCAGACCATTTGGATGGATACCCTTTTGCAGTAATGCTTCTCAATTACATGGAGCCTGTCTGTATTTTTACAGATGGAGAAAGACGAAACCGTGTGTGACTCTTCCCCACACATAGCCAACATCGGACGCCTGGTAGAGGTAAGCACTCGAAGGGCCCGGGGCTGTGTTGGTTTGGGCACTCTCCAAGTGGGAAGCTGAGGTTGGGATGGCCAATTTGAGCGAGTGTTTTTTGGTGCTTTAGTCCAGGGTGGTCCCCATGGCCAAATCTCTCATTCCATTGTTAGCCCCAAAACCTGTTGGCCACTCTGGGGCCTTTGACTTGACTTTCTCTAGAACCAAAGACTTCAGAGCTAGGAGGGATCTTGAGATGATATTTGAAAAGAGCTTGACACAGTGTTGGCCCATAGTAGGTGCTTAATAAGTGCTTGTTCCTTCCTCTCTCCTTAAAGAGATGATAACATTCATCCCATTCATTTTACAGAGGAGGAAACTAGGCAGGGAAAGCAACCTAGCCAGAATGGCAGGCCTGAGATTAGAGCCCTGGCCTGCCTTCTTTCCCCTTTCTCCAGCTGCATAGCAGCTCCAAGAGGTTTTCTGCCTTTTAGTTCTGGGAAAATCTTCCCTGTCCATCTGGTTGGATGTGGGCTGGACCACACATGACAAAGTCACCTTTTCCTCATAGCAGCAGTGTGGAGCTGGTTCCCCAGAGCCTGGCTCACTTTCCACTTCCCCATGAGCTGATCTGTCCCTGGTTTGTCGAATGCACGTGGAAACCTGGAGTTACTAAGAAGAATGACCTTTTGGGGGACCAAAGCTGGTCACTGCTCTAGAGTGACTCAGGCCAAACCAGGGCTCTTCCTGCTCCTTCTGACCCCGTGGCAACAAAAGGAGGAGAGCTGGCCCCAGATTTCCATTGAACAAATCTCTGTGGACTGTGTATGTGCAGACCCAGCCTTCCCTTTCTGGACCCTGGCTGAAATAAATGGATTCTGAGGTCCCTTCCAACCCCGGTGTTCTGAGTGGCTGTGCTGCTTCACCAGTTATAATTGAGCCTTGGTGACCCACAGGGGTTGCAGCGCTCGGAGGAACCTCCCTCTGACGGTCACAGACACAGGGATGGAATTGTGGGGGTGAAAAGTCTCTGGGTAGGTGAGGATCTTCAGACTGCCGACCATGATTCCCAGCTGACTCTTTCCCTTCTTAGGATATGGAAAATAAAATCAGAAGTACGCTGAATGAGATCTACTTTGGGAAGACAAAGGACATTGTCAACGGGCTCAGGTAATATACTCCTCCATCTTTTTCTGAGTCCTGAGTGGTGTTGGGACCGTCCTCCCTGGCCTGTTTAGCTCCCTCCATCTGCCCCCTGGCTTTGCTGTCTGTCGGCTGGTCGGTTAGTGGGCCTGCATGGGCCCTCTGGCTGACGGCCAGAGCAAGCCCACAAGTGTTGATGAAGCCTCATCCCTAAGTCCTCTCTTTGCAGAGATAGTGAGACCATATCAACACTAGCCACATTCATATGGCCTCTTTTAAGTGGCGACAAGAAGGCTAGTGACTAAGAAATGTAAATTACTTTCATATTTGATTCCCTGGGTATTACTGACCAGGGTAGGTAGGATTTGGATGGGGTTGCCAGAGGTTCTGAATATGCCCTCAAGACTTACCTAAATCACTGCTTTATAATTTGAAATGTAAAAAGAAATCTCCCCTTGAGTCCCCCTTCACCCATTTATCTCCCTTGGAATTTTCCAGTCCCCAACTGGGAAATCCAACCCCATTCCTTCCAGCTGGGGGATTTTGCCTGGCGTCTTGGCAACACCACATCCCTCCTGTTGCTGTTAGAGTGACTTATACCTCACTGTGGTTAGGGGAACTCCCTGGTCCTCAGGCAAAATGCTCAGTGGTGGCCTAGGTTCCATGGAGTGAGAGACCCCTTGTGACACCCCCACCCTCTTGGGACCCTGTCTCTAGGCAGGTGGCCAGCCTCAGACTCATGCACATCTCCAAGGGGGACCCAGGAAATGTATCTTTAGTTTCCTCTCCCCTCCCCCCTTTTTTCCTGCCTGATGCTGTTGAAACTCTCTGGGAAAAGCCAGAGCAGGGCTGTTCACTCCAGACCCGACCCCTAGTCCCTCACCTAGGGGAGGGGCTGGGGCTGGGGTTTCCCCTCCTCTCTTTCTCCTCCCCTTGTTTTTCTGACTTGTGAGTTTGTTTCTGTCCTTCATTTTTCCTTTGCTCACTGCAGGTGTCTCTCCTCTCCCACCCCCTGTCCCTGGGTCCCTGTTCTTGGCCCATTAGCTTCACTTATTTCTAAACTACTCTCTGTAGATCTATTGACGCTATCCCTGACAACCAAAAGTTTAAGCAGTTGCAGAGGGAGCTTTCTCAAGTGCTGACTCAGCGCCAGATCTCCATCCAACCCGATAACTAAGCCGATCCAGGTACCCGCCTGCCTGCTGCAGAGGCGCAGGGAGGCTCCTCACTAAACCCAAGTGGTCCCTGTGTACAGCCACTAACCTCCCACATCCTCGGGGGCTGATTAACAAACAAGCACCGTAATCCTGCAGGCTCCTGTCATGTCATGTACCTCCTGTAACAACTAGATGCTCTCAAGTGTGGGGGGTGGGGGCGCGCGCACTCGTGTGTGTGTGTGTGTGTGTGTGTGTGAGTGTGAGTGTGAGTGTGAGTGTGAGTAGGGGTGGGCTTGTGCGCCTCTACACACCTAGCAGGGGTGTGCATGCATGTACCTGCCCATGGGTCCATTATTTCCATTCTGGTCAGAGGTCGAGATGTGGAAACATGGTCACTTTTTAGTTGAGTGTTGCTCTAAGAGGGACTAATTGCTCTTGAGCCAGGAGCCCCTGAGTGATGAGGCCGTTTGTCCACATTCTTTCTCCCACTGCCTCCATTTGGCTCCATGTCATGGAGCCAAAAGAACATTGGGTCTGGAATTGGAAGATCCGGGGTCCTCTTCTGGTGTTGCTGCTTAGTGGGCTGTGACTTTATTCATTCACTTCTGCTCTTGGGGCCCGCGTCTCCCCATCCATAAGAGGAGGGGGTTGGGCCCTCCAGGTTTTAAGTCTTGGCTTGTGGTCTCATTTGGTCCAGTTGGGAGCCCCCTGAAATTGGCAGGTTACACCTTTCCACTGAAAAGAGGGAGAACAGCTCGGGCTCAGAGCAGTGAAGCACCTCACTGAGGATGGCTTAGGATAGATGGATCAGAGCCCATCGCTTGACACACTTCCCTGGAAGCCGGGGATGTTTTAGAAAAAGGCATTGCCAAGAATCAGGCCTACTTGCATCCTTCCTCTGGATCCTTCACTCAAAAAAAGAAGGTCACGCTGCCCTTCCCTGAGGGAGTCTGCTGCTGCCCAGCTTTCCAGGAGACTCTTTCCTTGTGGCCCTTCTCCTCGAGGAGCAGGACTGGCTGACCTCAGCAAAGATGCCATGCCATGCCATTTCTCTGCCTGGCCTCAGGGCAGGCAAGACACCAGTGCCCTTAGCAGTGACTCTTGGAGCCCCAATCACCTTACTTATTAGGGACAGACTCCTGATGAGTTACAGATGTCCCCTCATGATGCTTCCCTGAGAGAAAGCGAAAGACTCTTGCTCGCTGTTGATGGCCAGGAGACATAACTGCATCGATGCGGGCAGCACCTCCAGAGAGAAGGAACGCCGTAGTAAACAGAAACCCTCCAGAAAGGCAGGTCTGCATGGTCAGCCAATGTAGAACCTAGCGTGCCCCCATGCAGGGCTGGAGTGAGTCCGCTCAGGGCAGGCAGACCAGATGGACGATGGTCAGGAGCCCCTGCTCTCCTAGCGTTTCTCCCTGTCTGCAGTGCGGCCTACTCCTCTTTGGCCTCCCGTGGGCTCCAGGATTCTCTTGGAGAGTGCCGTCAACATGGCCTCCTAACGGAACTAGAGTCGGAACAGTGGGGGCTGTCGTTTAAGCTGTATTTCCCTCTTGGCCAGTCACCAGCATTGCCTGTTGTCCCCTCTTCTGCTCCTAAGCTGTTCTCCCAACTCCTCAGACATTCATTGAATTGGACCATGAGCCAGCCACATTTGGGCTCACCTGGCCCTGGATGCTCTTGGTGCTTTTTCCTTTGTATTTCAGCCTTTCTGAGGCTAACTTAGGTGACAGGGCATAGAGGCTAGGGGAGAAGCAAGACTAGGGAACTTCTTTTCCAAAGCAGCAGCGGCCATAATCGAGGCAGACATCCAAAAGGGAAGGAAGCAAGCAAGCCTGGCAGATTCACCCACTGGGGCTCTGGGGAACCTGTGCAGGTCAGCTCCTTTTACTGCAGCCGTGGGGAGTGTTGGCATGGCCACAGACCTGGTGTTTCACAGCGAGGGCACGGGCTTCAGGGCTTCTTCACGACATAAAGCCTCCCTTGACAAGTCTTCTGTGCTCATGCAGCCCACCAAAGGCAGGCGCCACTAAAGCGCTTTTGTTCTCAGACTGCATAGCTGTCTCTGAGTCCTGGCGCCCATCGTCAGGGCTTCTTGCCTGTGTGCGTACCAGACCCCCAGGCGGCCAGCCTGTGGAGGCTGTGAACCCCCTTCCCCACATAATCAGAATGGACCCCCTGATAGCTATCTAGGGAGCCTTGGGCCTCAGGTTAAGAACCCAGAAACTACCCCTTCACCACCCCCATGTCTTGGGACTCCCAAAGGCCTTGCCTTTGCCTAATTCTGGTGTGCTCCGAGCCTGCACCCTGCCCCTCAGCTCTGAAAGGTGCTGATGATGGGGGAAGGGGGTGCTGAGCCTTCTCTCCCAAGAGTATGTGTAGCTAGGAGCTATACAGGTAGAGAAGGCCAGCCCTCGGCTCCCGAGATTGAATGTCTCTGAAAAGGGTGAAGTCAGGCCTCCCCTTCCGCCCCACCCATGCCAGGGGACTGTCTGTCCCTCCTCCTCCTCCTCCTCCTCCTCCTGGTCCAGGTGTCGCCTAATCCAGGGTGTGTTTTTCTTTTTCCTTCCCTCCCTACAGGTCTGTGCAGACTTTTGCAGACAAATCAAAGCAAGAAGCCCTTAAAAACGATCTGGTGGAGGCTTTGAAGAGGAAGCAGCAAAGTTAAACTATTCCTCCTGCTAACAAGCCGCGCTGTGCACTCACTAGATTCCTTTCTTAGAGAACTCTGCCTCCGCCACCCTCCCCCCACGTCACATAACAATCTGCTTCCGAGCTGGCCATCTCTCCCGTGAATAAAGCTGTATAAGCCTTCTCAGTCTGAGACCGACTTTCCACCACATTTTCCTACAAGACCTTCCTTCTGGGTTTCCATGGAGACCACGAGTTGTTGTTGGGTTGGGTTTTTTGTTTTTGATTTGTTTTTGGGTTGGTTTTTTTTTTGTTCTCTCTTCCCCCAGTGTCCCCTTCCCCCCCCCCCCCCCCCCCCCCCCCAGTCCATTTACAGGCATCAAACACAGTCCATCTGTCTGTCCAGGCCTGCTCTCCCACCTTTTTGTTACAATGGTGTAAAAAATGTAAAACAAAAAAAATTTATGAAATACTGTGGTGTGTGAAAGAGGAAAAACTGGAAGTCCAATTCCACGTGTGTGTGGGAGTTGTTTGGGGTGGGGGTGGGGGGACCCAAGAGGGATTGTGAGGGAGGGGAGGCAGCTCTGAGAGGAGGCTGAGGTGGGTCCTCAGTGTTGTTCTCTAGACTTACCCCCAGTCCCAAGGAGACGCTATTTTCGGGGGAAGGGTGGGGGGTAGGGAGCGGGAAATCTGCTTTACCGTTCTGCTCTTCTATCTAGCCTGAATCCAGGCGCTTTTCTGTCGATTTTTATGGAATGCAAAAAGGGTTTTTTTGTTTTATTTTGGTTTTTTTTGTAAAGCTTAAACTGAAAAAAAAATTAAATAAAAATAAATCTACATCTTATACTTGAGCCTCCATACTTAAGAAAAAAAAAAGAAAACATCTAAAAAAAATAATAAAAAGAAGCTGGGAAGCAGTAAACATCTACCTTCTTGATTTATTCCCTGGTCTTTCTCTAGCTTGTGGATTATTCAGAATTCTGTGCACCAGCGTGGTAGGATGGAATGGGCATTGAGGATGGGTTCTGGAGCTCAGGCTGGGCTTGTCCAGGGCCAGAAGTGGCTCCTTCCCAGCAGTTTGTTGGGCATGGATCTGGCGGGAATATTGATCTTTACCAACTCCTTTTCTCTCTGCTCTCATGGCATACTTAACATAGGATTCAGAGCTTCATTTAATCCAGACTCCTTCCTGCAGAAGATAACAGGCCCAGTGAGGTGACATTTAGATCAGGTCACAGAGCAGGAATTCTAATCCAGGGCTCTGGCTGCTGCAAACTCCACCCTCACTCCACAGAGGAGCTTTGTTGCTGTCTTCAACACCCCCAGTTTGTCCTCTTTTCTGTTGTCTAGCCCACACCTCTCCATCTTCTCCACAATGAAATCTAAACTGCTAAAATCTAGATACGGCTTATAGCTGTTTTTCACTAAGGGGCCTAGTAACCCTGTCAAAAAAGGCAATAAGTAAGGTTAGTCTGGCATGACCAGCTCTTGAGGATTACCATCTTATCTTCCCTTTCTAGATACCCACTAACTATTCTTCTAAAAATAGATTTTGAGCATTGTGTTAGGAATTGAAGTTAAGCTTACTGGCCTCTAGTCGACAGACTTCTTTCTCCTCCCTTTAAAACACCTGTCTCCAGGAGGTTACCCTTTCCACAAACTTTCAGAGAGCACTAGCAGATCCTAAGCTATCACAATTCCTTTAAGGAGTCACAGATGCCAACCATCTCTTCCTGCTAGCTTGAACTCATAACACCTAAGAGAGCTCTACCAACTCCCCATTTATTTTGAGTTTGAACCCCCAATAAGCCATTTTGTTTGGGCACTGTTCTCTCAGGCTCACTGACCCTAAGGAAGATACAAAGTTGAGATAAAGCATGGTCCTTTATTCTCATGGTGTACACAGTCTAATAGGGGCAATATAAACGTGAGTAATATGCAGTATAACATGATTAGTACATTAGAGATTTCAGAACAGTGCTATGTAAGAACCAAGGGGGAAAGATTGTTGCTAACAAGGGATCAGAGAAGCAAATGAGTTAATATTTGTAGAAGTGCTTAGCACAATGACTGGCATATAGTAGGTGCTATATAAATAAGTACTTATTTCCTTTCTGAAATAAATGGCATTTAGCTGTGCCTTCAATGATGGGTAGGATTTCAACATCTGAAGAGAGGGAGGGAGGAGATCCCAGGCATAGGAAACTGAACGCAGAGATGGGAAAATGTGGAGTGTATTAAGGGAAAGAGATGGAAGGAGGAAGGCACAGAGTAGACTTGGTAGGAGTGTACCTTGTATGAAAGGGAGTGTGAGATATAAGGTAGGGTAGCACCAGATTATGGTGTGGTAGAAAGTTCTGGGCAAAGGAGAGAGAGTTTCAAATCCTGCCTCTTGCCATTTATAGGTATGCACTTAGTTTCATCTGTAAGTGGGGGGCTACTTTAGAAATAACTAATGTTGAACTTTAAATGTTTACAAAAGCACTTAATGCAGCCAAACTCTAGTCTCTCCAGATGTTGTCCAGCAGTCTCCAACGTGATCTGGTGCCACCCTACTTCATCTTAAAGTAGTCAATTTAGCATTTATTCAGTACCTACTATGTGCTGGGCACTGTAGTAAGATTCAGGAATATGAAAAAGAGGCTAAAGAGAGTCCCTGCCTTCAAAGAGCTCACAATTCTCCCCACATGTGGCATAGCTCTTCATTTGATCCTCACAACAATCCTCTGAGATAGGTGCTATTATCCCCATTTTACAGATGAGGCTGAAGGGTTCATTGATTTGCCCAGGATCATTCAGTTACTAAGTGTCTGAGGCAGATTCTAACTTGGGTCTTCCCGACTCCAAGCCCAGCTCCATATTCACTGCACCACCGAATGAGATGTTACACATCTTTGCAAAGTTTTATGTCAATTATTCTTACACATCTAATAAGAATTTGAGACGCTATCCTCATTATAATAATATCACATGAAAAGTGTTGTAGATGCCAAATGTTTTACCTTTGAAGTGGAAAGTTACCACTTATAAGGTAGCATATAATCAAAGGTTTCGTAAAGAAGGGAGCTCTTGAGTTCTGAATTAATGGAAAGGAGAAAGTGTAAAAAGAGAAGAGGGACCAGGATAGGTGCCTTGAGGAACAATTTCATGAAGGATGAGGAAGAGGATGAATCCAGGATGTTAAAGGCTCCTTCAGTTCTAACACGCTGCGATGCCGTGGGCAAACATTGGACGGCCCTGAGTTTCAGGCAAAGGAGTTTGTCCTTCATCTTCAAAGAGGACCAATGACATCACAGGGTGATGTCTTGACTTGTGAGTGAGTTGCATTTAAGTGAGGCAGAGCCGTACAAAGTCTTCAACCTCACTCTCTTCCAGAGTCATCGAAGTCCAGTGGCAAGACAAAAGTCAAGACGACTTGTGATGGCCCGGGATGCAGTGGATGATGTTGGCGTCTTCTATGTCTGACCAAGCCCTAAGTGCTCCACAGCACCTGCTTTAGCCACTACCATAGCCATTGCAGCAAATTGTGCTCATCCTCCCACTCCTCAGGGGAAGTGTTCACAAGCTTTCACGGACATCCCTGTAACTCACCAGTGCGTTTGAGGCCTGTCTGTCATCCTCAACTTTGTTTAGCCTGTCTGCCCTGAGACAGGGTTTACCGGGGTGTGGCTGCTGCCCATGATACAGCTCCTTGGAGCCACAGCTGAGAGTTGGGTGGCAGGTGGACACCAAAGGCAGATAAGCAGCCCTCACACCAAGGTGTGGTGCATAAGAAAGAATAGTTGGGCCACATGCCAAGAATGGAGTGGAGGGAGTAGGCAACAGAGCTATAAAACTGTAATTCTCAGATCTATTTATCCAGCCCTAACCTCTTCTGACTCAGTTTTACATCTCCAACTGCCTATTAAACATCTTGAATTTTCCTGTAGACATCTTTAAGCTCAACTTGTCCAAAACTGAGTTCTACCTTTCCCCAAAAACCATCTCCCTTTCAAACGTCCTTATTACTGTTTAAGACACCACCATCCTCCCAGTCAACCTGAGCTCACAACCTTGGTGTCGTCCTGAATTCCTTTCTCTTATTCCCCTTATCCAATTTGTTGCCAAGGACTTGCCAATTCTCCCTCCAAAACATCTTTAATATATGTTCCCTTCTTTCCTCTGACACAGCCATCATTCTGGAGCAGGAGACCCTTATTACCTCACATCTGGATTATTGAAAGATTCTCCCAGTCGGTCTCCCTGGCTCATCTCTTCCCTCTATAATCCGTCCTTCACTCAGCTGTCAAATTGATAGTCCTTATTTGCAGGTCTGACCATATAACTATATCCAATCAGGGAATTCCAGTGACTCCCTATTACCTCCAGGATCAAATATAAAATCCCCCAGTTGACTTTTAAAGTCCTTCACAACCTAGCCGCCTCCTACATTTCCAGTCTTCTCACACCTTACTGCCTCCCTATCCCTCATTTTCCTTGGCTATCCCCATTGCCAGGAATTACCTCCCTTGTCTCTGCCTCCTGGCTTTCCTGGCCTCCTTTAAGTCCCAACTAAAATCCCATCTTCTGCAAGAAGGCTTTCCCAGTCCCCCTTAATATTCCACTTGAAACGGTCTCCAATTTATCTTCTGTTATCTTGTTTGTACCTAGTGGTTTGCATTTTGTCTCTCCAATGGAACATGGGCTCCTTGAAAGTAGGGACTAGTTTTTGCCTCTCTTTGTATCCTCAGTGCTTAGCACAGTGCCTGGTACATAGTAGGAGCTTCATAAATGCTTGTTGACCTCACAACTTCTAGTGTGTACTTTGCAACAATCTGTTCAGATCCAGGTCACTTTGTAAAAAGCCTCTTTATCCGACCTATGAAATACCCTCTGGCAATTCGAATCCATTCCCAATCCAGTGAATGTGCTTACTACACACCAGGCACCATGCTAAGTGTTGGACATAAAATGGGACAGCCCTGGCCTTCGAGAAGCTTGCATTCTAGGGGAGGAGGTACACAATACAGCATGTTCCCAAACGAGAAAACACAAGATGTATACAAAATCAATGCAAGACAGTTTTTGTAGAGAGTGGATGACAACAAATTGGGAGCCTTGGGAAATACCTTTTGTAAATGGGGCGTGCAAAGAGTTATGCAATGTGATGCTTCGAGGAGGGAATGGGCGCAAACAATAATGGACATTAAGATT